AATAACATCATGTAATAAAAATCAAACCCGGAAAATTATAATTTGCGTAATTACTGGTGGAAGGACCTCTTGTGAGTCCGCCCAGGTAGATACCCCCACCCCGCCTATGTCTGCTGTGAAGCAGTAATGCGTTTCGGTTTGAAGGGTGGGGCTGCCGTTGTGACTATACTGAGACCTTAGAACTTATATCTCAGGTAGGTGGCGCATTTGCGTTGTAGATGTCTAGGGTTACCGTTTTAAGTGGATCTTAAGGCTGAAATTTCAATCGTTTTGTACAAGGACTTCAGCCTTCAAGTACGGTTCACGGATTCGCGATAACAATGTTCAACAGTGTTCAAACGTTGTGTATGTATAACGTAATCTTATATATAATTATATAAATTATAGGTACAGCTAGGGGTGATTTTCATTCACCTATAATCCGTCTTTAGTTTTTTATGGTTTTCTTGGTCAATCTTTGAATGTTAATTATGATTTTTGATGTTATAATTGTTAAAAAAACCGGTAAGTAGTGGTAACATGAGACCGCAGTGTAGGTTTTTATGACTATCTTATTTCTGTCGTGACGCACCTACGCGCGCAAATTCGAGAAGAGAAGCTTAGAGAAGATTAGAAGTCTTCCGCCATTTTGTGATGTGATCGAGACTAGATTTTATGTTTCAAGGTTGATGACATTCGAGTTGTAGCGACGATCAGTCCCGATAACCAAATAACGTGGAATGCTAATTAGTTCGACTGATAAAAAAACACTAGACGATGACCGATTTTTTTTTGATAACGCCATCTTGTTGTTTCTTTAAAGCGGTTAGTTGCCCTCAATTAAGAAAAATAGTATTATTATTCGCCAATAGATGTCGGGAAGAGTTGATTATAGAAAACACGAATAAAACAACATTTTCTGAAAATAAATCGTAGCTAGATCGATTTATCGCCCCCGAAATCCCCTGTATACTAAATTTTATGAAAATCGTTGGAGCCGTTTCCGAGATTCAGATTATATACCTATATATATACAAGAATTGCTCGTTTAAAGGTATAAGATTATTAACATAAAGTGCAAACGTTAAATAAATAAATAAAATAAACCACAATAATCCACAATTATCTTATTACCATCCCTATCGGACACAATATTATATACAAGAACTAAGCGCGATTGCTTTTATTTTAGCCTTGTTAATTGCTAATAATGTTTGCGTATTTTGATATGTTTTCAGGCAGATTAAATTCCCTTTTACGGTATTGAGTCAGTCGTAATGATTTATTTATATTATGTTTAGAGGTTAGGGAGTTAATTGTCGATTGGATTGTACACAGAAAGTTTCAAAATAGAATTGCGAATGTAGTTGATAAAAATCCTATTTGGATGAACTATCTCGATTAAAATTTTAATACTCACATAATGTAACCTAAATTTTAATAACGGCACTATAGATTATGTTCATGTAATTTATATGTATATACTCGTAGGATATTTATTATGTTTTAAGAAAAACTAAAATTAAATTAAATTAACTTTATTAAGGTTAGTATTATGTAAATGAGGAATTTAAGCTGGATTTCATAGTTTCAATAATTTTGTGAATATTTTATGACATATTTGACAGTGTCGGTGAACATTTGGGCCGTAGTCCCGTGTTCGATTGATGAGAATAAAATAAAACACATTTTTACCCTATTCATATCCGCCTGACTTTTTGGCGGGAACGCGAGGAGTAAAGTTGTGTGATTTGTTTTATTTTGTCTATTTAGTGTTTCTTCAGGTTTAAATGTGTAATAATGGTGGTTTATTAACTGTTTAATATCTGTGAAAGTGCACAAATGTGGGAAAATGAAACAAAGCTGCTGGACGTAACTTCTCGGGATCCTCCAAAAAGTCCACTGAAAAAATCTCAGTAAATGACCACCATTTTACTGCGATTATATTTCATCCCATATCATCTCATTTCATTAAATTTCATCCCAGTTGATTAATGTCTCAAATTAATAATCTTCATTTCATTTCACTCCATATTATCATTTTTCATAAAATCAAGAATATAAAGTAAAATAAGACATGACTTAAAGGTCTTAGTTACCAGGTCATAAAATCTCTTAAAAAAAAAAAAATCCGCCTCATTCAAAACAATAACCATAGATAAAACAACAGTCTTCAAACATGGCGGCCTTTTCTACTTTCTGCCTAAAATGTCAAAATGTCATTTCCCTTTACACACGCACACTCGTTTTATGCAGTTTTAGAAGTTTCAAATTATATTATATCGTTCTTTTACAGTATGGTTAATATTGAAAACTATTACGTGAATTAAAGTGATTACCAGCTGTAAAGATAAAAGCGCGCCAATTTTCGGTCCTCAAAAATATATCTGTATATAAATGAATTGCTGTTCGTTAGTCTCACTAAAACTCGAGAACGGCTGGACCGATTTTCCTAATTTTGGTCTTGGATTATTTGTCGAAGTCCAGAGAAGGTTTAAAAGGTAGATAAATATGAAAATTCTCGGAATTAAATAATGTTTAGGTCTTTTATTTATCGATTGAGGCACTACGAAGTCTGCCGGGTCAGCTAGTAGATAATATAATTATGTAGATAATAATTCGCATCTAAGAGTTCCGTTTTGTATAGGTCCCATTCACTTCGAATCGACTTCATTTGATTTTACGATATAAATGCTTGGACTAGACTGGTGTCTCTCGTTTCGTTTGAGGATATTTCGAGTGAAGCCTGTGAGAGACTTGTCGTGTTAATCAAGTCTGTTGTATTTGCGTTGTTACTAATATATTTTATTATATTCCGAAATTCACACCGCCCAGGGCAAATCCAGGGAGTTCGCTCGAGGCATTAATTTCAAAAACACGTTTCTGTTTGTTCACGCAAAAGGAAAATACGTATTCATGAAAATATAACAAACTTAATCCTGTTTTATTAATAATTGTTATGATTAATACATTAAGTGGGAATAATTTTTTTGACGTGACCTAGTCTTATAATTCGATGGGGCCGGTTGCACGCACGAAAAAACATGACTTATGCGGCTTTACCTCGCTCGGAGGCGTTCCATTTAAGGCTTAAAGTGCAAGCGAGAGCGCACAACGAGCGACAAAGAGACACAATCGGCCGCCGCGTTCGGCAGCGTTCGATATCTGTCTCTCTCCTACTTGAGTGAGCGATGCATCCGCGTGGACAGCTGCTATACAATAATACATTTAAATGTTTTCGTCAAGTATGAAGTTCAGTGAAAAGTGAATGTGGTGTCAATTGTTTATAGCAACGATAATTGCGATAATTGAAAAATGAAACCATTCCATCAGTATTTTCTTATGACGTTGTCACGTTCAACTATCGTCAGTATACCGACTTTATAAACAACCGATTTTTTTACATAATTGATGAGCTCACGTAGATGTAAATGTGATAAGGTTTCGGCACAATAGTGATTTGCGCTTATTTTGAAATTGAATCGGAATTATTCTGAATTTGTTGTATCTGTTGTATCTCTGATAAATCATTAAGATATATTTAAATTCGCTTCTTTCTGTTCTTTGTTTTCGTTTTATGACATAAATAACTAATTCTTATTCAATTAATTTATTTTGTTGTTTGATATTTTAATTAATTAATATATTTACTGACTGCATTTAATGTACCTAATTAATTTTGTATAATAGAAACACGCTGTTCAATAAAATAACTATCAACAACTTTGTAAGCCGTGTTTTAGCTAATAAAGTTTTTTTTATATTTTATTGCTTAGATGGTTGGACGAGCTCACAGCCCACCTGGTGTTAAGTGGTTATTGGAGCTCATAGACATCTACAACGTAAATGCGCCACCCACCTTGAGATATAAGTTCTAAGGTCTCAGTATAGTTACAACGGCTGCCCAACCCTTCAGACCGAAACGCATTACTGCTTCACGGCAGAAATATCGGTGGTACATACCCGCGCGGACTCACAAGAGGTCCTACCACCAGTAAAGTTTGATTTGATTTGATTTAATTAAACGCGATAACGCCTTTAATCTTCGATAGAATTTTCCTGTAGTATATTAAAAAAATACATACCTATTAAGAAATTTGTCTGGATGTCGTATGTGTTAATTGTAATGTAATTATCCGGCACTCTCATTTCCTCGCTCATGAGAGGAAATTAAATTGTTTCGAGGCAGTCGACCGTGGACCGTTATTTAATAAAACGTTGACCATTTTAATGCATAATTTTTATATTCGCACCGAAATTTTATTTTGTCCGGCTTCTGCATGTCGTAAATAATTTAAATTATGGTTTAATCTCTCGTTTTCATTTTTGTTATGTATGATTCTTTTTTTATTTGATTAGTTAATTCTTCCAAAAAAATTCATTATTCAAATACTTTATTGTTCTCGAGGGGCACGAACGACTCAGGTATCATTTGTACCGTGAAATTTTATACCAATTTAAGATTTTGTCTCATTATGTAGCTCTGTGTTTAGCGTGGCCGCAAGAGCTCTAACTATTAAGCACACAATCGGGCCAATAAACTCTTTTTCATAACGTACTTAATCGATCCAAGTTCAAATTTTTCATTACGAGCCCGCTCAAGGCAAGTCAATCAATGTTTGCGTGATGTGAACTTTGCGTGCCTACATAACGCGCTATTTCGTGTAATCGTCTCAAAAAATAATAGGCACCCAATGCGAGAATATGCTTCGAATTTCCGAAGTTAAGAACCGGCCGTTATTGGGTCAAGGTGTTGAAGCGAAACGTGTACGGGAATTCAGAAAAACCTGACATTTAGGACTGACCATAAAAGTGAGCCGAGATCCGTGTGCGGACGGAATGGAACTAACGACCATTTCCTCGACACTCGCAACGAGTTTACGGACCGCAGCGGCAATAAAACTCCATCAGTGGGCGAATACGTGCAGCCTGAAGACGGGCGCTGGTTCCTAATCCTGGCAGCGTGTGCGGGAAGTGTCGCGGCGCGGCGGGGCACAAGGGGCGTCGCGACGCTCAGTCGGGCGCCGGCCTCGTGCAGCGCCGGTCGCCACGGATGGCTCGCGACAGGTAACGCGGCATGCGGCCCGCGCTCGCCGCGATCGCGGCCTGCTGCGTGGCGGCACGCGCCGAGCCCCCCTCGCGCCTCGCACCCCTCAACACCACCCCCCAGCACGTTCTCCAGTGCTCCGATGGCCTCGTGCTGCCCGCCTGGAGGCCTCTCGAAGATGTCCCCACTTACCAAATCGCGATACGCGGCTTCGTCTACTTTCTTGCGCTCATGTACCTCTTCATTGGGGTGTCTATTGTCTCTGATCGGTTTATGGCCGCCATAGAAGTTATCACGTCCAGAGAAAAAGAGGTGCGCGTGCGGCGCAACGGCAGTGAACAGATCATAGTTGTTCGAGTCTGGAATGAGACCGTTGCCAATTTGACGTTGATGGCTCTCGGATCGAGTGCACCTGAGATACTCTTATCGGTAATCGAGATAGCCGGAAAGAATTTCGAAGCCGGGGATTTGGGCCCCGGAACCATCGTGGGTTCCGCTGCCTATAATCTTTTTGTCATAATCGCCATCTGCGTTGTGGTGATCCCGGATGGGGAAGTGCGCAAGATAAAACATCTTCGAGTATTCTTAGTGACCGCAACTTGGTCGATATTCGCCTATGTATGGCTATATATGATTTTGGCGGTTATATCACCAAGTGAAGTCGAAGTATGGGAGGGTGCAGTCACTTTCTTGTTCTTCCCGGCGACTGTAATGACAGCTTATATTGCTGATCGTCGCCTGCTCGTCTATAAATATCTCAAGAAAGGCTACAGAGTGAACGAGAGAGGCGTCATAGTTGAAGCCGAGGGTGACGGTTCTGTGGAGATGGCGCTGAAGCCTGGCGGAGACGATTTTCTTTCCGATGACGACGAAGGCCGAGAACTAGAGAAGTCACGGAAAGAATACGTATCCGTTCTCCGCGAACTGAGAAGACAGCATCCAGACGAAGACTTAGAAACCGTTGAGAGAATGGCTTTGGAAACGCTAATGGCTAGTGGTCCTAAATCACGAGCGTTCTACAGAGTTGCGGCGACTCGTAAAATGACCGGTGGCGGTGATTTTTCGCGGAAAATCTCCGAGAGAGCCCAGAGCGATTTGAGCGAGGTAAAAGCGGAGTTACAGAGACGAGATTCTGGTTCGGCGTCAATTGAGCCGCGCGGTCCAAACGTTCGTTTCGATCCTGACCACTACACCGTCATGGAGAACTGCGGCTCGTTCGAAGTTCGAGTTGTAAGGGCTGGAGACCTTAACGGTGACGTCACTGTTCAGTACACCACCGAAGACGGGACCGCTGAAGCTGGCTCAGATTATGTGACCGCTCAAGGATTATTGCATTTCAAACACGGAGAAACGGAGAAGACGTTTAGAGTTCAAGTCATTGATGATGATGTTTTTGAGGAAGATGAGCATTTTTACGTTCGCCTGTCGTCGCCAAAGGGCGCTTCCTTGGCTTCTCCGTCTACCGCTACAGTAGTGATACTCGACGATGACCACTCCGGTGTATTTTCGTTCCCTCAACGCGATTTCGAGCTGACAGAGTCCGTTGGGACATATGATCTGAAGGTGGTTAGGACGGCTGGCGCACGCGGGAAGGTCAGGATTCCTTACTGGACCGAGGACGGCACAGCTAAGGGAGGCGCTCAGTACGAGATTGCACAAGGCCACATCTTCTTCGAAAACAACGAGACCGAGTAAGTTTTTTGTCGCTTTTACAGGCACACGGGTGTATATGACGTTTTTTTTTTCTATTCCTAATCTCATGGTCTAGAGAGACCATATCAGCGTAAACTTAGCTAGTAGGTGAGCTCACGGGGCTCAAACCTGACGATGTTGCTAGCACGAACCCTAGCAAGAGCCGTGTTTCGCAGAATCTACCACGGGATCGGAAACGCGACCCACTGTGAAGATCCGACGAGCTCAGTGGGCTGTGTCTGTGGGTTAATTTATTCGCCGAGCCCTTCGTCGTAAGCGACGGGTTCGACGAGAACGACGACCGGAACGTCGCTCGTGGACATCAACAATACCAAGAACACAGTTAGGTCACTGCTCAAGTCACTAAGGAATATTCTTAAAGTAGCAGTTAAAAAGTATTTAATGTAATCTAATGTTTCAGTTCCTTTCTTACCTAATAATACCCGTTATCGGCCATATTGAAATAAATTGGCAGAATAAGTCGGGGTGATTAAAGTAAGAAAGCGGCATTACGCGAAAACAAATACCCGTTATTACAGGGAATTTATTCGCGACCCTACTGATGTTTTACGAATGATATTCTCTTCGGAACGGCTCGGGCTATTGATTTCTTTAAAGTTTTACGTGTTTAAGTGGAAAAGTGAGTACGTGAGTGACTCTTCGCACGGCGGCCTTAACTCGCTACTACGGTAACAGCGTAATTTATATGAAATTGCTCGGAAAACAACTCGTATTGTTACTCGTCCGCGAATAAAATGCGTGGTTTCGGTGGAGTACACAAATTGGGAAATATCAATTTGAATATTGTCGGTGAAAACTCAGTTTAATGATTTCAAATACTCGTAGAAGTAAGCAGTTTCGTGTACCGGCCAAATAATTTTATTTTATTGCTTACATGGGTGGACGAGCTCACAGTCCACCTGGTGTTAAGTGGTTACTGGAGCCCATAGACATCTACAACGTAAACGCGCCACCCACCTTGAGATATAAGTTCTGAGGTCTCAGTATAGTTACAACGGCTACCCCACCCTTCGAACCGAAACGCATTACTGCTTCACGGCGGAAATAGGCGGAGTGGTGGTACCTACCCGTGCGGACTTCCAAGAGGTCCTACACCAGTGATTACGCAAATTATAATTTTGCGGGGCAAATAAAATAAACGGGCTTGTCATTTTTAATTACTTAATATTTTTCTACTGCTGTCTTAAAATAATTGTGCCAGCATGTGTTCTAGTTTTGTTGGATTCTTTTATAATTTGGATTTTGACGAGATCGAACTTTTGTATGTTGAAATTGAATTTTTTTTTTTTCTTATTACCCTTGTAGGCAGACGAGCATACGGCCCACCTGATGGTGAGTGGTTACCGTCGCCCATGGACATCAGCAATGCCAGGGGCAGAGCCAAGCCGCTGCCTACCGCTTAATACTCTCCACAAGCCTCGTTTGAAGAAGGACATGTCATAGCGCTCGGGAAACACCATGGAGGGGAGCTCATTCCATAGCCGGATGGTACGTGGCAAAAAAGACCTCTGGAAACGCACTGTGGATGACCGCAGTGGCTCCAGGTAGTATGGATGAACTCTACTCNTTGGCTCCATACCTACTTTGCGTAATGCAATCACAGCGATTCGGTTTTCTTTATCACCCCACTCCATTTTAATATCGCAAAATATTGTACAATGTATTGGCGCCAAAATGAGAAAACTCAATGAGCAATCATATAAAAATGACAGATTCCAAATTCAAATGTAATATTTTGTTTATTTTTAATTGTAACAGTATTTATGGACAGACTAATTATTGTGTCCTTAAATCATTATATTCAATATGTGGTCCACCTAGGTCCTGGAACCAGCTCAGGGGGGGGTCATGACCCCCATGACCCCCCCCTGGATCCGCCCTTGTGGTCTAGAGAGACCATATCAGCGTAAACTTAGCTAGTAGGTGAGCTCACGGGGCTCAAACCTGACGATGTTGCTAGCACGAACCCTAGCAAGAGCCGTGCTTCGCAGAATCTACCACCGGATCGGAAACGCGACCCACTGAGAAGATCCGGCGAGAAACTCAGTGGACTGTTTCTGTGGTTTAATTTACTCGCCGAGCCCTACGTCATAAGCGACGGGTTCGACGAGAACGATGACCGGAAAGTGGCTCATGGACATCAACAATACCACGAACACAGTTAGACCACTGCTCAAGTCACTGTAAGGAATATTCTTAAACTAACAGTTAAAAAGTATTTAATTTAATCTAAAGTTTCAGTTCCTTTCTTACCTAATAATACCCGTTATGGGCTATATTGAAATAAATTGGCAGAATAAGTCGGGGCGATTAAAGTAAGAAATCGACATTACGCGAAAACAAATACCCGTTATTACAGGGAATTTATTCGCGACCCTACTGATGTTTTACGAATGATATTCCCTTCGGAACGGCTCGGGCTATTGATTTCTTTAAAGTTTTACGTGTTTAAGTGGAAAAGTGAGTACGTGAGTGACTCTTCGCACGGCGGCCTTAACTCGCTACTACGGTAACAGCGTAATTTATATGAAATTGCTCGGAAAACAACTCGTATTGTAGTCGTGCGCGAATAGAATGAGTGGTTTATACAAATTCGGAAATATCAATTTGAATATTGTATGTGAAAACTCAGCTTAATGATTTCAAATACTCGTAGAAGCAAGCAGTTTCGTGTACCGGCCAAATAAAATAAACGGGCTTGTCATTTTTAATTACTTAAAATTTTGTCTGCTGCTGTCTTAAAATAATTGTGCCAGCATGTGTTCTAGCCTTGTTGGATTCTTTTATAATTTGGATTTTGACGAGATCGAACTTTAGTATGTTTAAATTGATTTAGACAGCGGCTTGGCTCTACCCCTGGCATTGCTGAAGTCCATGGGTGACGGTAACCACTCACCATCAGGTCGGCCGTATGCTCGTTTGCCTACAAGGACAATAAAAAAAAAATTGAATTGAAAAATTATAACATAAATAATATCAGAGTGATGCTATATCGCAATTTGTTACTGGTGGTAGGACCTGTTATAATCCGCACGGGTAGGTACCACCCCCCTGCCTTTTTCTGTCGTGAAGCAGTAATGCGTTTCGGTTTGAAAAGTGGGGCAGCCGTTGTAACTATACTGAGACCTTAGAACTTATATCTCAAGTTGGAGGGCGAATTTACGTTGTAGATGTCTATGGGCTCCAGTAACCACTTAACACCAAATGGGCTGTGAGCAGCATAAAAAATCCAATATGATTCACATTTCGACCTCGATGTCGAGCGGCGATTTCGTTCGCTTTCCAATGCAACGTCTCAACGCTTATTTCCGGATCAAACCCGGATAATCTCATAGAGATTATGCCGAGCCGAACACTAAGGCTAGTTGGCTCAAGCGTTGACCTGAAAATAATTGACGCACCGATCTATATCTCATTGGGCAGTTTTATGGTTTCCTACGAAGCCCTCTAACGACTGGATATGTTTTCGGAGCGATTGCACGTAACGTATGGCGATTTCTGTGGCGGTGTTTCTTGTTTATTACACTTTTGGGGCCAGAGGTATTGCGTGTATCTCTCGGTATGTAGCTGCGTGTCGGTTTATCTGAAAAACTTTCTTATTATTGAGAGATTGATTCGGTACTACAGAAGTTAGCGGTCTTAGTTTATATAGTACTAGCGACCCGCCCTCGCTTCGCTTCGGAAACTGTAATTTATTATTGGTTTCTCCACTATTTAATGGATGTTATTATACATATAAACCTTCCTCTTTAATTACTCTATCTATTAAAAAAACCGCATCAAAATCCGTTGCGTAGTTTTAAAGATTTAAGCATACATAAGGACAGACAGATATAGGGACAGAGAAAGCGACTTTGTTTTATACTATGTAGTGACAACGGCTGTTCCGCCTTACAAACCTCTCCTTCACGGTAGAAATAGACAGGACAGTGGTACTTATCAGTGCTGGTACATAAGACCTCCTACCACCAGGAATAGTAGATATAGAATTCTTTGAAACAAATCATATAGTTGCTTCACAGAAATTAGCTGTCTGGTAGAGTGTACCGCTATAGGCCTTTTTTGTAATTTAAATTCGTTGCCTATCGTTATGTACTCCACAAGCCTCGTTTGAAGAAGGACCTGTCCTAGCACTCGGGAAATATCGTAGATGCGAGCTCGTGCCAAAGCCGGATGGTACGTGGCCAAAAAGATCTCTGGAAACGCTTTTTTTTTTAAATAGAAATTGTGACCTACGCATCAACTCAACGAATATTTTGTTAATGTTGAGTCTCTATATCGGGCAAGGATAAGAAGTCTTTTTGCATTATAGTATGTATGAACTTGTAATAAAATCTCTTTGGCTATACTATTTGTATCGCGCTGATTTTGGTATCATCAAAAGTTTAAATTTTAAAGAAGAGAATTCAAAATTAAAATTAGGAAAATGTGTGATATTTATTTATTTTTCGTACTGTCAAGATAACTTAATCTAATGAAGAAATCCGATATATATAGTCCGTATAGTCCTGACCTTGCACCTTTAGATTTCCACCTGTTTCGGTATCTTCAGAATTCTTTAGGCAGTGTCAGGTTAACATCACAAGAGGACTGCCAAAACCAACTGTCGCGGTATTTTGATCAGAAGGCCCAAAATTTCTATAGCAATGGGATCATGTCCCTACCTACAAGATGGCAAAAAGTTATCAAACAAAATGGTATCTACATATTTTAGTTAAATGTAAATAAACTATATTAAAAAAACTTTCTGAATTTTCTTAAAAAATGCGAATAAACTTTTTCCCCAACCTATTATTACAACCTAACGTGCTATCTATCAACAGCCCGACATTCCCGAGACTGACTTAGCATCACTGCATTATAATTATCGCTAATACATACATATTATTAGTTGCTATGGGGACATTTGTGGTCCCTACATTAACAAAACTGATTTATTTCGTTTGATCCTAACCGTGCTCATTATACGTTTTGGGTT